CGGTGCCAGAGGAATGATCTTCGACATAAAGGAGGTTGCGGACAGTTTGATGTGGCAAGAGAACAGCATCATAGAGTAAGAAATCAGTAATATCATATATTTTCCTCTCACCTCACATATTTTTAAACTAGCCATGTCATGGAACATATCTTTTGTTCTTTCACGACCTACCACTACTCTAAAGCTATACAGTGGACCCGTGCAAGCTATACAAAGTGGAGATTGTGGATTTTTTTGTTTCTAATCCCTCATTGCAGTTCTCAGTCTGTTTTTAACCCCTCGTGCCGTCCTCGTGCAGGGGGTCATGCCAGCCTTCTCTGTATTGTTCCAATTTCAGTGGATGCACTAACTTACAGAGCCAATGATAGACCGCTACGACGACCATTTACACCCATAATACCACACCACCAGGCAAGCTGCGCCAACTGCAACAGCCAATCATATACAACCATTCTACTCGATTACATGTAAGCTCAGGGTGAGATTTTTGGCATGCATGCATCTATCGCTTAAATAAATAAATAGCTAGCTACGTGGCATTTCCATGTTTCGAGAAGGGTATTCAAATTTTTATTCAAAGCAACTACCAGCAAAACACGGCTTGCAACAGAGCACATCCGAGGCACCCATTGCAATGAGATACGTTCTATGCTTACAACTGGGGCGCCTGTGTTATGCGGCTTGTGCCATTACTCCTCCTTACATATTTACGCACACCATCCTCTTCAGCAACAATTTCGTTAAAATGGACGGAAACAGAATTGAAATTTGAAATCTTATTTTTTGGCCCAAAATTCATGACGTTGAGGATACGGCAGTCTGAAAACACCCTACCTACCCTCTCAATGTATTTGGACTTAGCCCAAAGACCTCGTACATCCAGGTTGGAAAACGCCGGACCCCTTGGATATATATGGACTTCAACGAGGTCCAGATACATCGAGGGGGTTGGGCGTCTTCAGAACGCCGTACCCTCAATTTGATGAATTTTGAGCAAAACAGTGAGATTTCAATTTTGTTCAAAAAAATATTATATCATTTATATGTCCATTTTGAACGAAATCGTTGTTTTTCCTCCGTTTCCTCCTCCATTGTTCCATGCTCTCTTCCCCTCATGTGGTGCACAAGGGTCCGGTGTTTTCCAGCCAGGATGTATGTGGTCTTTGGCTAAGTACAGATACATCGAGGGGGCAGGGCGTTTTCGGAACGCCGTACCACTCAATTTCATGATTTTTGGGCCAAAAAATAAGATTTCTACTTCGTTCAAAAATATGTCCCCTCTATTGGCAGCATTTTTTCCCTCTATTTCCCTGTTCATTTCATCCATCCCGAGAAACAACCAACTACCGTCCAAATACAACGTATATCATTCTATGGTCATCACAGCTGATTTTGGGGCATACGGGAAATAATAACTGCACATTCTATCTTCTTCTTTTTTCTTTTCTTTTTTTTTTTGTAATAACTGCACATTCTATCTGGCTGAAGACAGTAGCCAGATCCCAAAAATTCTTTTTTTTTTTTAATGGGGACCCAAAAGGTATGTAGTACGTACAAATAACGCCGGATTCGCAGCTACCTCGGCATCCTACGGGATTTGAGCCTGTGACCTTTCCCGCACCCATTCCCACGAGAGCTCTAGTCCCCCGCGCATTCTGCTGGACATATGCCCACTGCAACTACCTTTGGATTGCCTGTCGGATCAACCACCCCCTCAATTACCCCCTCAATTACCCCCTCAATTACCCCCTTTAGCCCCCTTTCAGTCGTGTACTCCATCTGACCAACCCTCCATTTAGCATTTCAACTATAGCATACTACGTGCGAGGAGAAATCCCTATGCATCTGGTTTCCGAGGGTTTTCTGAAAATGACTTACGTTGTGTTATCTTCCAACAGGAAGGAATTCCCACTCTCCGTACACGACTCATCAGTCGTTGCCTGCATCATGAGGGTCCTCAGCATAGACATCACCTGGCAAAGAAAAACCAACAACATATAATTTAGTTAGCACTTGAACATGCACCTTTCTTCCCGCTACCCTGTGCCTCACTATTGCATTGAACAAGTGAACATCCTATTAGACCTGTGTGTGCGTGTTTCGCAATATGCACCTGCACAAATAAAGCATGACTGTGCCAGATCGTTTTGTAGAACTTTCACCCACCCACCCACCCACCCATCCACCCACCCACCCACACACACACACACACACACACACAGAGAGAGAGAGAGAGAGAGAGAGAGAGAGAGAGAGAGAGAGAGAGGGAGGGAGGGAGAGAGAGAGAGTCCCAAGCAAGCTGAGGCAGCCAACTGACCAGGGGTTCAATCTTTGAGCATGCATTCGAGAAAGGGACGGTACAAGTAAGCCTTGCCTTGCCTTTAATCTGACAAAGTCTCCCAGGTTTCCCAACTGGTATGCAATCAGTCGAATCCACAAAACTCGTTGAGAGAAACACAGGCAGCAACTGCCTGTGCACAGGTACTAACGTCTTCACCAGGGTAGAACACCCAGTCATTATATAGCTGTATCTGGTGTACTTTTCCAGACTAGATACAGCGATGACAACCGGGAGCTATATTCCGGGGAAGACGGCAGTACTCTGCTTTTCGCTGGAGAAACGGTAGGTGGGAGAAGGGCAGGAAGGGTCTCGGTACCCCCCGCTTAATCAAGATGTGCAGGTAGCTGATCGAGCCAAGAAGAAAATCGGGGCCTCAGTCTTTCAAGAAGCAAAAATAATAAAAATATCCTCATCAAGAACTGAGCATGACACGTCCACGTAAACTCGTCCAGGGAAGGGCTGGGGGAAGACAAGTGGAGGGGTGTTTTTTTTTTTTTTTTTTTTTTTTTTTTTTTTTTTTTTTTTTTTTTTTTTTTTTTTATGTTGGGTGTTTTTTCAGGAAAACAAGAAAAGAGTTGTAGGGATCAAATAGTAGAGGAAGGTCCATTTCAGACAGATTCGCCGAGATTTTCGAGGGGCGGCTGTGGGGTGACCGACAATTGTACAGCCATGTCAGACTTTCGGCCATATTTCTACGGATTACATAATGAAATCATTATTTTTCATCTGTTATAATTGGAACGATACAGAGAAGATTAGCATGGGCACTCCGCAAGAATGACACATAAAAAAAAAAAACAAAAAACTATTTTTTTATTTTTGCGATGAGTTTGTAACTTCGTTGATGATTGAGCATACAGTTCGTTCACATGGTAAAAATAATAAAATATAATTTATTATTAATTTGATAAAATAGTAAAATACTAATCTAAAAACCAATGAAATCATTCGGAAAATGACAAAAGAAACATACGAAAGTTATCAGGGAAAAGACACAGCAGCTGTTTGTTCTCTCAGGCGCAATAGCGAAGGAGACGCTGCAGAGTGCTGGTCTGACACGCCGGAAGTCGTGGGTTCAAATCCCTTGTCCAGAGAGACAAGCAGAAAGAAAGGGGTGGTGTGAGGAGGAGAGAAACACAGAAAAGAAAGTACCTCCGGTGAGACGGTCTTCGTCTGGTACTTCTCGTCCCAGAACATGGTACTAATACGGTACAGCTGCTGCACACTCAAGTCCTGAAAATCCCACCACAGAATCATTAAAAAAACAAAACAAAACAAAAAAAAAACAAAAAAAAAACATAAAATCCCACCACAGAATCATCAAACACAATCCCAAGGGCAAAACAGTTGAAAAAACAAAAAAAAACATTCGGTTTAGTATCTCCCTTTTAATAGGCTTTTATCACTTTTATTATTTTTATAATAATAAACTCTTTTTTTTTATTTTTATTTTTTTTATTTTTGCTTCATTTCTTATTTCCATTGGCTAAACCACCAGTACTTTCGACCCTTCCCTTGCTGAGCCTCAAAAGGCGCTGCACAGCAAAACAAAACGAGGCGGCTCGAGCCTTCTTTTGCCTGGCACGGCCAGCCATTTTACTACGGCACCCAGACCCCCAAAGCTTCAGCCGCATGCACACCGCGTCGGAGGAAAAACGGACCGTGAAACGATCTTGTGGTGGTTTAAATCTTCGGTTTGTTCATTTGAATGCCCTCCTTCCCATCCAGTCCATGCGACTGAATGGTACGCCAAAAAACGGACCGGAGTTGGCATCCTGATGGCACAGCCGATCAATAAAATAACTCTAAACTACATGGGCCCATTCAGTTTGGTGATGATACCTTGAGACCGCTTTTGGGAAAAAACGAACGAACGAACGAATGAACGAAAGAAAAAGAACGGCCTCCTCCTTCCCCTGTGAACAGTACCACCACACACTCATCCCCACCCGCGGCCCAAACCCCCACCCCCCCCAAAAAAAAAAAAAAAAAAAAAAAACACTGGTGCTCAAGTTTTTACAGAGCACGGTCTGAGTTCAAATATCTTGTCTGACTCTGACAACCCAGAGTTTTGTTTTTTCCCCCCCCTGACTATCTGTTTTTGGCATTTTGTTTTTATTAAAAACTAAGCTATATTCTTTTCTCATTTTTCACCTTTGACCATCTACCTACCGCTCCTCCTAAGCCTATACAGGGGACTCCTGCAAGCATAGCTATCTCTCACAATTAAGGGGGGGATGCAAGTTGCCCTCCCCCCCCCCCCMCCCCTAATCGGCAGKGGTCAGAGAGTAGGGKGGGGCTGCTGGGGGGGGGGGGGGGGSGGGGCTAACTCAAAAGCTGCGCCTCTCATCTGCTTCCCCCAACCCCCATCGAGTAGCCGCAGTGGCTATGGCCAACACTCTCCCACAAAGTTTTTTTTTTTTTTTTTCAACTTCTCAAAACAAACTACAGACTTTGATTCAAGCGCGTAAAACAGAATTATCGTACTTTTGTAGTGATTTCATAATTGAACAAGTCCGAGTCTATTATGTTCGATATGAGAAAGATTGGATCCTCAGTGTGAATGGCCCTTATTGTTTGGCCAAACAGATTCGTAACTTGGTACATGATATTTGTATTAATTTGAGAATATCCTCGAAGATAGAGTGGCGATAAAGTTTTTTTTTTTTTTAAGTTAACCAGTGACTGAAACAGCTTTTCACCTTTGCAGTAGCGGATGCAGATTCCACGGCTCGATCCCTAGACCTCACTCACCTGTGTACAGTACCCCCGGGAGTCGAACCCGAGACCTGCGTCGTAGGAGTCTGTTGCTGTTGTCGTAGGTCTTAAGTAGTGGCCGGGTCTTGAACTGTAGCTCTGTCGCATAGGGGTCAGAGTTGTCATAGAGGTCGTAGCTGTAGCGATTCTGAAAGGTCAAGGCCGTAGCTGCTACAGTCCTGAAGGGTCAAGGTCATAGCTGCTACAGTGACCGAAAGGCCAAGTCCAGAGCCTTCCGGAAGGTCCGGAAGTGGCCTTTCCGAGGTTCCCCACGTTTAGTCTGTGGCAAGTGGGCAAGTGGTGAGTCTTACCGTGCTGAGGCAGCGGTACCAGTCCCAGTCAGCAACAATCCAGTCAAGCAAGTACTGTGTGGGACTGTGTGCACCAAAGGGCATGGGAAAGGGGCAGACCAAAGAGTTACAGAAGTATAAGGCAGCACCCAGCCATTCATTCATTCTGCTGTGCGCAATGCGGAAGTGCTGCCCGAGCGCCTTGTGCGAACGTGGTCGGCAGAAGTGGGCGAGAAGAGTGACAGTGTTAGTAGTGGAGTTAGCAGCGGCCATAGCCGCCAAGGTTAGAGATAGGAGTTAGTGTGTGTGTGTGTGTGTGTGTGTATGCGTGTGTTATAGCGAGTGCGTGTGGGGTATTCAGGGTAAACCAGAGTCGAGGGAGTGTGCGAACAGTGGTGGACACAGTTAGGAGAGTGGGATGTACAGGGGCTGTTGCGCCATAGCCTGTCGAAGCGAGTTTGCATCTGAACTGTGCTCTCGAGTTCCATATCGCCTGGCGCCAGTTTGATTTGCCATCTGTTTGCAGGTATGCGAGTTGAGGAATAAAGCGAGTCTGATTGCAGTGACTGTCTTTCTTTCTTAAAAAGGGCGACGGCCATGAGATATCATCATTGAACTGACTGGGCCCAGCTATTAATTCAGAATAATTTTATTTTAGATTTATTCATCCGACAATAGCTGGAATTGAACTTGGGTCTGCCTTTCTGCATTTCAAAAGTTCATGGGTATACCAACTGATCTAAGCCCGTTGGTAAATTTAAAACCAGTGACCGTCTTTTTTTTTTTTTTTTTTTTTTTTTTTTGACCGTCTTATATTTCACACAAACCGGAAAAAAACTTGAAAGGGGGAAAGTAAGGGAGAAAGGAGAGAGAGTTCGTCCTCGGGAAAGAAAGCAGAAGAGGACTAAGGGCATACTCACACAAGGACTTTCAGGACGGATCTCCATCCAGATGCATGAAAAACATTGTGTAAGGATCCCTTAAGAATCCTTACCAGGTCGTGCATGAATCTCCTCTGCAGTCACACCCTAGTTTCTTTTTTTTTTTCTGTTTTTTCCTTTCTTTCGGTCACACCCTGCTAACACCAGATATCATCATCTGAGAGCACATATGTGAGAGACCCCCTTCCTGCTCGCCTGTGTGTGTAGAGGTATTTTTGGGCATGGGTATTGAATCTATTGATTGAACAAGTCCCGGCCGGTTGCCAGCGAGGACACCGTACTGCGAAAAGAGACAAGAAGAAGATCTCTGGGGTCCAAACATAATGGAAGACGCGGGAAAAAGGATTTCAATTTTAAAGAAGAACCTCATCTCTGGGATGAAGGCGCAGCTGACGGGACAGTTAGCTCTGTACATGGCAGTTAATCATACCTAGATCCATAGCTTAGCTGCATGGTACAGACTCTGCAGAGCTAAGAAAAAGCCGCCCCGCTGAAATGCGTAAAAGACGATCCCTATTGCGAGACGCAAGACAACCAACGGAGACAATAGAAGCCGATACCTTCCCGGAGAAAGTCGAAACGATTGCAACTTCTTCGAGAAAGAGAGAGAGGGAAAGAAACCAAACTGAGGAGGAAAAGGTAACCGCGGAGAGAGAAAAAAAAAGAAAAGAGAGTTAAAAAGACTGAAAAAAAAAAAAGGAAACAGCAGAGATCAAATGCCTTGCTATCAAGCACGTGTCGTCAGCTCACACTGATTACAACTCCGCCAATTGCACACAGCCCGTCACGCATCCCATCAGTCCTACCAATTGAATGACTGGTCTGGCAAAGTGTCTGGGCCGCCGTGATGGCGGCGGCTTGCCACTGGGGGTACTGCAAGAAGTTCATTGAACCTGATCATTTAGAGAAAGGAGCAATCGCAACAAGGTTTCCACAGGTGCACCTGAGGAGGGAGCTTTCAGAGCAAAAACGAAAAAAGAAAAAGAATTAGCAATTTTGCAGAGAGCAAGAAGACTTACTGGGCAAAGTTTCCGCATAATCTCATCCAGAGTTGCTTTTGGCTTTCTTTGGTAGACCTGTGGAAGAAGAAATAAGGTCCATATTGTTAGACAGTTAAGAGTCAAGATCTAGCTCCCTTCTTCTTGTTCTTGTTCTTCTTTTCCTTCTTCTC